ATGGCTTCCATAGACGAGGTGGACGAGACTATGATGCTCGCACGCTACTTGGCGTCTCACGGCGGAGCATGGCCTATCGCTGATACGCGAACGCCTTCGTCCTCCGTCTCGTTCGCGACTCATTGCCCTAGCGATGGCCGTGACTCAACCAAATTACAATATCGAGCCGGCAGCGCTGCAGCTATGTGGAGAAAATCGGCGTCAGAATCATCACGTAGCGTTGGCGCCAGGACTAGCGCAACACTCCCTCATGTAAAACGTGACCTATTTAGGTCTTCATCTGAAGCCGCACAGCAGCTCCCGTCGCACGTTAATTTCTATGTCCAGAGTCCGCCAGTCAGCAACAGCGACGCAGAATCTCCCTTTGCCAGAGTTCCTCCTCGCCGCTCGCCGGACGTGGATCTTTTAAGAACCAGGCGAGTGTCCGGAATTTCGCTCCTGCTGGCAACAGAGACTGGATGATGTGGAATTTTCTTCAAAGTATCGCGGAGTCAGGGGATTGCGGAGCTTGCGGGAATTTCCTATTGGGCGGAATTTCAGGGCTGAAGGCTTCTGACTCTTGAGTGCAGCGAGAACAAGGCGCGGAGTCGCCCTTTTTTGCAGAAGAGAAGAATGCCTCCCATCCTGTTGCACTGGAAAAATGATGTGGCATGTGGCCCGGACTTTCACTGAGAGGACTCTCCTTACTCAGCCTGTTGCTCGGGAAGTACGCTCAGAGGTCCCTAAATTTGTGAAAGGGCGTCTGAAAGGGCTCATGATCTTTGGAGGGGACGGATGCAGCGACTGGAATGCAGCCAGCGGGTTGTGCTTGTACAGGAAAATGCTTGTGTGATGGGAAGCGCCAGACGTGACAGGGAGGTTTGACAGAGGAACGAGGCAATTTTGAGGGTTGAAGTCCCCGTTTTTTTTCCTAGGCGTTCCAGGATTTTTACAAAGCTTGCATTCTTACTGAGCTTTTGCCTGGACTAGAGGTCTTTTGTTGCTATCTACGGTATATATATGTAATGTAGTATGGAATGGAATGATGTGGTATTGCTTCTGTTCTGTGTCACCCTTAAGAACTACCATAACCACAACGCAGCAACTCAGGAGTCTGTATGCCATGCATAGACCAAGAACCTTTAGAACTAGTCAGACATCTCAACAACCCTTACTCTGCTGCTCCAATCTGGCAGCTTGTTCCATCACAACCTGACGATGCTTCTCAAACGAAAAGTAGGTAACTCTTGGGCTCATGGGTGAGGTCAGGTCTATACTAGTACCGGTACCACTTCTCTGTCTGCTACGAGTGGAGAAACCCCTCCGTGCTGGCAATGTCACAGGTGTTGAAGGGGTGATTTCGCCGTCCTCTTCCTCCATCACAGTCAGCTCTCTGGCAGGGACACAAGCCTGCATTCTTGCCTGCAAATCCGACTCCACGTTGTCGGCAATACCCTGTTCCCCATCCATCCAACCAGATAGATCATCAAAGCTTTTCCATTTCCGTCTGTCTCGCTGCCTGCAAGGAGCGGCTGCTGGCTCGGCTCCCTCAGTGCTGACACCACGCAACTCAATACTGGAAACGTGCTTCGGAGGTGTCCCCGAAATCGCGGATCCAGGCGACAATGGAGACATCCGGAAAGAAATCGATGCTTCCGCTCCTGTACGTTTCCGTCCGAAGCTACGCAATCTCATAAATGACGGTGAAGGTGGTAGGTTGGACGTCCGCCGACGCTCAGGGAGCATACGTACAGAAGAAACCGAATCGTTGTTCACCCTATTCACGAACCGCTGAGCTTCGTCCGAAACGCCTTTACCAGGCGTTCCCCACACGATATCTTCGTACGCCTCGTCCTCATCGCTAGGAATATCCAGTGGTTTCATGTTTGAAACAAGGGTCTTGCTCCTCATGCTCTTACTTGGCTCGCTAGCTTCGCCATAAGGTTCCTCGTTTCGCTTGATAGTAGCAGAATCGTGGCAGCTCGTCGATCTGGATCGAGAAGACGAGAAGGCTGTCTCGCCGTTCTTCTTGCGTGGACGGAACCAGAACCGGTTGGTTGACTTCCAGCCGTCAGTTTCCGATTTCTGGTCAACAGACGCCGGCGTAGTACCTGCAGCCTCTGCTTCTGCCGCCATTTCCCACAGGTCGCCCGAGACAAGATCCAAGGACGGAGGTCGCACATTTGCGAGTACGTATGCTTCTGCTTTGCTCTCTGATCCTGGACTTCCGAGGCGCTTTAGAATGCGTTCTTCAGGTCGCACAGCATGGAGAGGGTCGGAGCAAGGGACATTTGTGCTCGCTGATGCTGGAGTCGCTGACGTTACCGCAGGTGCAGTCATTGCAATAGCAGCGTACATACGAAAGACTGCAGTATTCTATATACTTCTGCGGGAACCTAATGGTCGAGTGTCAGCTTCTGCACATTTGGAAAAGTGTGAACGAAGGAAGAGCGCGTGAAATATCCTGATAGAAAAAGACTATCTTGAGGGAACTTCAACGACGAGCTGTCATTGTCAACGGATCTGCTTGTGTATTCGTGGAACTGTGAAGGTCGACCCATTGCGTGTATGGCTTTCGGGTGGATAGGCAGCCAATGTGGAGCTGGAAACAATTTGATTCCGCTTCTGTTCAGCCTCCATTGCGAGTCACTCACTGACAGTCCTCGCAGGGTTATGAAGCAGCACTGGATGTATGTAGGGTTTTTAGTTTTCCCGGAAGGCTTACTGTAGCTTCCTTTCTTTCAAGGTAATTTTATCTCAACTTGCACACACTTTCCGCTGATCCGCTTCTGAGGCGGAAGAGTTATTGTGCTAACACAGAACTCGGCTTCTCCGCACGTCACGCAAGCACTGTTCTCATCGGACTTCTTCTGCCAGCAAGCACAAAATTAAACCCCTCTCGGTTGGGAAGTTTTCAAGGGCATCAACCCTGAATACCACCCGACAAGGTGTTTAGGGTTGATGCCATACATTAGCATGCCAGCCAAGAGGGATTTAGGTTTGGCATCAACCCTAAACACTCAGCCGCAAGGTGTTTAGGGTTGATGCCCCTTTTACACTTGCCAGCCGAGAGGGATTTAGTTTAGTGCGGATAGAAAGGCAAAATAGTGCTGTGCACCGAGATAATGACACGTGGGTAAATTTGGAATCGATTTCTGTCTTAGCGCGAAAAGTCTTCTGTCTGGGCCGCAAAACCAGGGGAAACTGTGTGCAGGTAGAAAAGAAGGTCCTTAGAAAGCGCAGGTTCGGAAGTACCACTTCCGCCGTAACTAAAAACCCATGTATGTATGACCAGCCAGGCTGTCTGTGTGACAAGCCAGAGGTGCGATCACCTCAGGGAGGGCTGCTTGTCTCATCATTTCGGTGTGCTTGTCCCTTCCCCCTACCTGTCGCCGCTTCACTTCTACTCTACACTTCTCAGTTCACGATGCACGGTACGGTACCGTATCTACACGGCAACAAGCTGCAAGGACGAATCAAAATCGTGACTTGCGAAGAGCTGCGACACTCGCGGAGATTGCCGCGAAAGAGGGTTCAGAAGGACGAAAAGATGATGAACAGTCAACGGGGGAACCAAGTTTGGCTGAGCGAATCTTGCAGTTTGGTGAGCTGTACACATCCGTGATTTGTGAAAAGCGGGCGGGGAGGATGGAGGGAGCTGGTTGGTGGGGCTGGAATTCGTCAACGAGCTCGTAATGTTACGGGTATCAGAGTGAACTAGCAAAAGTTGCACTATCTAGGAAACCAGTCAGGGCCTACGCATACTATACATGACCCTATCCAGTCAACCCTCGAATTGTCAAGGTTTATGCAAGGATTTCGGCTAAGATCGTGTGATTGTAACGAATATATTGAGCTGAAGGCTCAGAAAGAATCATAGAAACTTGCTGGAAAATCAGGTTAGAATTATCCCCCACCTCATGAATATCAGTCACTTTCGTCCCAAGGGGTCAGGTCAGGGTAGTCTAAGATGAATATGAAGACCTGGTATGAAGTTACAACTCAGGCATGACACTCTATTTACAGGAATGTAACTGCACCTACTACACAAACAAAGTGCCTACACAACACATGCAGCACAATATCTACCACCTCAAACATACCAGCTACCTTTCGGTCTCTGGATCTGACCTACACACTTTTGATTCCACAAGCTCTGTTATGTACAAAGAAGTGCTCCATTTCCTGCTCTCATCTCATCTCACTTACAAGCACCATGCACCTGCCATGACCCCAGGTGTCAGCGGCCCTCCCAAGCTGTTCTTACTGCTGCTGGCACTGCTACGGCCATGCGCCACCACAAGCCAATCCTCGTCGTCCTCTTCATGCAGCATGGCAAACGCGGGCAGCAACCCCCCCTCCTCCAACCCTTCCTCCACCACAGCCTCCCCAGTCACTCCCTCCTCAAACGCTGCTCCTGCCCCTTCCAACACACGACCAGTCCCAGAACTAGCAGCAGTAGCACCACCAACAGCAGCAACAGCACCACAACCACCAGCAGTAGCGAAATCAGCAGCACGGACAGCAGCACGGTCCAGCACCACTTCCACCAGATCGCCCATTCTCAGCCTGCGACTCACAGCCTCGCCCTCCCCTACCACCTCCGAGTTGACTCGCAGAGACATCCGCCCCCCCCTGCCCGCTCCTGCCTCCTGCTCTCCCTGCTGCTGCCCCACGTGCGTCTGGTGAGGGTGAGTGAGGCGCAGCTCGTCCTGCTTCTGCCACAACTCCCGGAGGAGGAGTGTATCCGGGGAGCCCCCTTCGTTGAGCTTCTTAGGTTTCTCGTGTGAAGAGCTTTCCGACGAGCTTTCCTCCTCGGCGTACTGCTCTAGGAATGCTGCCACTGTGGTCGTCGCAGGGACCTCCCGGACGGATATCTGAGAGGAAAAAGAGAGGAGGAACGATAAGCTCATGGAAGATCCAGCTCGAAAGCGACCAGCTTGAAGGCCGAAGAGAATGACGAACAAACAATAAGCCTGGAGACGGATACGACGGTCAGGGCGAGGGAGGGGGGCACTCACGCTATCGCCGTCCATGACGAGCACGTAGATCTCCTCGTCCTCCAACGCTGCTGCTGCTGGCGGCACCGGCGCACTTGAAAACGGCGCGCCCGCCGCTGCAAACGCAACTCCTCCCCCAGGCGCTATGCTCGCTGCAAAAGCACCCCCTGCAGGTAATGGGCTTGTTGGCGAGCTGCTGAAGGGGAAGGTGCGGAAGCGGCACGACTCCAGGTGCTCCGGGAAGGGGCACCGCTCGTGCAGCTCGGAGGAAGCTTCATCACAGTCAGTGCCGCATGCACCACCAGGGGAGCAGGAGGTTGGGGTGGAGCAGGAGGGGGAGGAGCAGGGGGAGCAGGAGGGGGAGGAGGCGGCGGTGGCAGTGGCGGCAGTGGCGGGAGCGCCGCATCCCACGGCGGCCATGCTGGCGAGGTAGAGAGACGAGGGCGACAGGCGCTTGGAGGGCGGGGAGAGGCGCAGCTTGGTGTCGCTCATCTCACTGTACCACGACAAAACGTACCGCACCCATTCTATCTTCGCCAGCACCGCTGGCGACGGACCTGGGGAGGATGAGGAGGAGGAAGAGGAGGAGGAGGAGGACCCTTTACCCTCCTGTTTTCTACTACTGCTGCTACTCTTCTCTTTCCCGAGTGCTTTATCCCCGTTATTGTCACGGAACCCCGCTTCCTTATACCGCCAGTGCGCCGCCACGCCGAACTCCGCCTGGTGGTGCATCGCGGGCGTGCGGATCTGCACCTCCAGCGGCAACCCATCGTCACCGCACACCACCGAGTGGATCGACTGGTAGCCGTTGGGCTTGGGCGCGCGCACGTAGTCCTTGAGGTGCCGCCCCGCCCACGGCGCCCAGAGCGAGTGCACCACGGCGAGCGCGTCGTAGCACGCCGCCTCGTCCGCCGCGATCAGGCGCAGCCCGCGCACGTCCATGATCTCGTGGAGTGACCGCCCCTTCCTGGTAAAGATGATTGTGCGGGTTCGAGGAGAGGTAGGGGAGACGGGGGGCAGACGGGGAGGAGGAGTGGGAGGGGGGGAAGGGGGTGGAGAGGCAGCGGGAAGCGGGGGTGGAAAGGGGAAACAGGACAAGGGGAGGGGCGCGATGAGGAGGGGCGGAGAAACGGGGCGAGAAGATGTTACGAGACGAGCAATAATGGGATGGATGATGCAGGATGCAAGAGATCTAGTGTGGGTCTGAAAATGGAGGCGGGCCGGGAGGCGGGGTTGGGGAGGAAGGTGCAAGGAAAAGGTTGTGAAGAAAACAAGTATAATTGGATATGGTGTGTGCTACTAGCCGCGCTGCTTACACGATGCTAACGCGCTGCTTACACGATGCTGATGCGCTGCTTACACGATGCTGATGCGCTGCTTACACGATGCTGATGCGCTGCTTACACGATGCTAACGCGCTGCTTACACGATGCTAACGCGCGGCTTACTTGGTCATCTTGTTGAAGATGCTGTAGAGATTCTTCGGCCGCCCGCTCAGGTCCTCGAACTGCACCCCCTTCGCCTCCAGCGCCGCGCTCAGCCGTCGGATCGCCGCCATCACGCTCGCCTCTCCGCCTCCGCCGCTCCCGCTGCCGCTCCCCGCACCGCCCTCTTCCGCCCCACCCGCACTCCTACTGCCAGCACACCCCGCAACGCTGCTAGTAAACCCGCTGCTGCTGTTCGCGCCGCTGCTGCTGCTGCTGCTGCTGCCGCCGCCGCTGCTGGTGCGGTCGAGCTCCGCGAGCAGGTCCGCGTGCTCGCGCGGGTGCAGGCAGCGGAAGCACGCGTCCTCGATCTCCGCCTTCCACGACCAGATGCCCAGCCGGTTCGCCAGCGGCGCGAACACGTCCAGCGTCTCGCGGGAGATGCGCTGCTGGGTTTTGGCGGGAAGCGCGTCGATGGTGCGCAGGCAGTGCATGCGATCCGCGAGCTTCACGAGGACCACGCGAACGTCCGCCATCGCGACGAACATCGTGCGAAGGTTGTCGATTTCGCACGTCGTCAGCTGTCGCGAGCTGTCGCGCGTGAGCTGCGAGACGAGCGACAGCTTGCTGACGCCGGCGAAGAGCGACGCGATCTCGTCGCCGAAGATGTCGCGCAGGTCCTGCTCCGACGTCGCAGTGTCGTCGATGACGTCGTGCAGCAGGCCCGCGGCGACGACGACTTTGTCGGCGCCGATGCCAGCGAGGATGAGCGCCGTCTCCACGCAGTGGGAGACGACTGGCTGACCGCTCTTGCGGAACTGCCAATAACGAGGATCAAGTAAACAAGCAATAATATCAGAAAACGAAACAAACTGTAAGAATCTATAAGCATCAAAACTACGACTAAGTGGAAAAAATTAAGGGTGCGAGACTTTCAGAGAAAAATGTGAAGAATCCCAAATCACGACATACCTGGCCTTGGTGAGCGTCAGCAGCCACTTGGAACGCCAGCTTGACCAGCGGGTCGTAGAATATCGCATGCTTCTTCTGCGCATATCTCAACCAATCGTCATCCGACAACAGAGCATCCGGATCTCGGCCAATCTCAATGGCGGACCGCACTTGGCGAAACGGCGCGGAATCATGCATCCTGACGCCGCCATTGGGAAGAGCCGTCAGCTTCGGCATGCTTAGCAACGTCGTATTTACAAGCTCGGCGCCTGAGTCCGTCCCTACGCGCCATACCCCCGGAGCAGAACCAGTGAGCGACGTAACTAGCCCTGGCCAGTGTGTCGAGTGAGCAGCTGACGACGCTGACGTCACCTCTTCTACGAGATCTTGGATGGACGCTAGACCAGGCTTGCCGTCCGCTCCTAGCGGCACAAATCGTGGGGCGACATGGCTGTCGGAAGAGGGAGCAGGGGCGACGCAAGAGCCAGACGCGGAGGCCTTCACAGTGAAGCCGACGCTGCGCTGAATCGGCTTCGAGTCTGCAGGCGCGGGTGCTGTCAACGGAGCGAATCGACGTGTCCGAGCGCTGCTGCTAACGTCAATAGACGACGAGAGACGCGGCTCGCTTCTGCATGTTAGGGACGACGCGAGGGAGGTGTTGAAGCCGCTTCTGGTCGTCGTCGTCGTCGTGCTGACGGACAGGCTGGAGCGACGAGGCTTAAGCTTAGAACTGTTAGACGGAATGTTAACTGCGGTGGAAAGAAACCGACTACCGTCAGATAAAGAGCCAGCGTTAGTTACACTGTTGCCGAAATGATATCCATCCTGACCGCCAAAGGCGCCAGATCCAATAGTCCCCGTGAATTCAGAGCTTGGCAAAGACCCATAAGAGCCATGTCTGGGACTTGTCGAGGTGAGGAGGGACGACAGGCCGCCTCGGGAACCTTTACGGTTGTTTTGGTTGTCTAAGGCGCTGGTCGCATCAGCGTCGGACAACGTAGGAGAAGGCGAGAAAGATTTAGAAGACGACGACAGAACGGCCCCTGGTGAGGAGCTGGAATAGAACGCGAGAGATGTAACCATAGCGCTATCTAACCTCTCAACAATGACACAGCCTATAAAGAAATAGCTAAGACAGTTGCAGGATCCCGCTAATAGCTCTCAGCACTAACGGGAACTTGCCCTCCAGAGTAATCTCCAAACAAAACGGAAGCACGGGTCAATAATAAAAAAAACGGAGTGAGAACCAGGCCTTTCTACCTGCTTGAGTGACCTGGACAGAGCTGGGATGAACAGAAGGGCGATTCACTTGGCTCTAGGCTTTACGGCAACAGCAACAGGCTCCTAGGGTTTCTGGTTCGCAGAGGCACAGCACAGAGCGCTGAGGGGAAATGGCTGGAGGAAGAGAATCAGGCTCAGGCGAGGGGTAAGAGAAGCGGGAAACGGGAGCTCCGTCAAGTCGTCGTTGACGGACAGAGGGAGGAGGAGCGAAAGGGGGGCGGGAGGGGAAAGAATCTAGCGTCGATTCGGGTCGTCAGGAGCGGAGGCTCGTTTTTAAACCAATGGGCTGGCCCATTGATTTGGACGCCGCACACCGACGGGACGGATTCCGTCCGTTTCCGCTGGTTCTGGAAGTGCGCGACAGAACGCGTCGTGACAGACGGTAACCACCCATACCTCAGACCACTGCCACGTGGAATTTTGCGAAGGAGTATGGTACTGTAAGAGATGCGGGGCATGGGGCCACTTGAAAGGAGTGCTGCGCATGCTGTGGGTGTCTGCATCACGCCCAACCTAAGTTGGCGGGAAACCCGTGCGGTTGACGTTGATGTGAGGCACACTCCACGGAGGATTGACGTCAGCACGCTGCTGCACAAGCCCAGGTGCCTTGTGTTGTGGTGGTTGACAGTTTCTCGCGATTCCTTTCGGCGCCCGAGATCCTCCTCAGTGCCAGGTGCACGAGTATTCCATGTGAAAAAACTTCGCAGTTGGTGGGAAATTCACTGTTCCGAACTTCGAAACCTGAAGAATTAATTAGACGAATCAAGATTCAGAGTAACAGATCCGAGCCACGTTGTTTTTACCTTAGGTCCTAACCGACCAATTAAATTGTAAAAATGGAGGTGTAGTTTGCCCAATCAACGTCTGCCAAACGCTATGAATCCACTTGGCACATTGGACTTGGACGAAACTCGCTGGGTGATCAGTACCCGCTAAAGAACGTTTTCACTGTTCGAAGGACAGTGTACATAATCAAGCTTACACTCTGTACAACAATGCTATATGCAATCCACAAAGAAAACTAATTACCCCTAATATTCCAGTGGTAACAATATTTCCAATGGTCTAGCTCCGTTTGAATGTTCTTGATCAACACTTGACTACGTTGCAAGTCCTCGTGCTGCACACAAGTGCACAATGGGGGAGGAAGACAATTGTATGGACAAACAGTACAGAAACATTCTGTGCGCTCACTGCGGTCAACTTCGTTTCGTCACAGTGAAAAACGGTAAACGTTGAAAACCGCTTTTCAATGTGCGGAACCGTCCTGACCTGAGCCACGATACAAGATACAAGAACCGTAAATGTGCGAGAAACGAGCAACCTGACGTCGCCCTAATTTCAACAATACCATACAAACGAAGATTCTGATGGAAACATGTTAGGAAGAAAAGCAGACTGATGCTGATTGAGATGCTAGGACATGCAATGCAAACACACGAAATGCAAGTACTTCTTACAGTTGGAACTACCCCTGCCGTGGGGCAACAGGCACGTTACAGGGCCCGCAATGGTCAGTGCTGGACACATCCAACGGTCTCAGGCACGCAAAGCAGAAGGTGGTGCCACATTGGCATGTGATGGACTTGCAGCCCTCGTGATGAATGATTAGTGTGCGACAACTCACGCACGCACGGAGAACGGGTACCTCCATTCTGCTTAACACCTGCGAGCAAGGGAAAGAAAGCCGGACCGTTTGCTATTGTCAGAACCAAAAGACCGTTAAAAAAGACAGGGAAGAGAAATAAGTAATTACGAAATCAATTTAGCATGCTGCGCTCTCCCAACCTTAGTGGGAGAAGTCTGAAGCTCGTAAGTTCTTTGCCTTGAATTCATGCTGACTCTCTTCCCGCAAGACCAGGCGCTACGTTGACGTCCGCGAGCAAATGCAGCTGAGACAAAACACCATGACAGCGAGTTGATCACAACGTCCAGGGCATTCGCGGGTTAAAATACGCTTCCAGAAATAGGGATAGGACGCATAATCTGGAGGCTGAGAGCCTCGACCTCTTCGAGTGGAAGCCATTGGCGACATCGACATGTCAAGAAATTGGTTTACTAGGGAAGGCTTGGAGTGAGTGAATGGCAAGCCACAGCCTAGCAAAGAAACCCTGGGATGGAGCGAAAGCAGACAATCAAATGTGGGGCTGAAGCTAACACTTCGAGGCTGAGGATTTGTACCCGCTACAGACGGTTTTCCGGAATGGCCTACACCTCCAACCTCGCTAGCGCAAGCAACTCGGTGTAAAGGCCTTCAATCTGAATAGAAAGAAGAAAAAAAATATGTGAGTGCCATGGAATCTCTAGGACAAATATGTGATTGTTGGCATCATGCTTAAAGCTGCGGTCTACATACCAAAGGGTATTTTCTGGGGGTATTTCGGGTGCACACCCTAAGACGCAGTCTGATCTGCACACGAAATGATCCCTTTCCAGAAATGAGAGCGCGAAGGATTCAAACACAACTGGCGAATCCCGCCAGTTTCGTGCAAGGTTTGGTTGGGGGGGTACTTTTTTCGTGAGGTTGGGGTTGTGGTGGCGATTTCGCCACAACCTGCAACCAATCGAGGTTGGGGGGTAGATTGGCGCGAAATTTGTAAGCCAATCCTGAGCAGGCCAACTTTCAGAGGGGGGGTTGGGTTGTCAGAAAGCAGTAACTGCACCTCGCCACCCAAGGATGGAGCGAAGCCCTGTGCTACCTGGTTTTCAAGTGATAAACCAGGTCCTCCCGCAGGAGGTATGTAGGCGACAGCTTTAAGCCACCTTCAAAGATCTCCATGTATGCGGCAATTACTTTCATTATAACGTTATTGAGGTGAGGACTAAATCATTCATGAAATACACAAGCAAACTGCAATGGCAGCTCACATCTTGCACCTCATGAAAACTGCACAAGCCAGGACAAGCCTCAACAACGCCTACAAACTATGTCCTAACCTAATGATAGTTCTTTTGCCTTCACCAATTATTTCACCCCAGAGCAGAAATTAACCCTGGCGGGGTGCAACTGGCGCAGTGCAGGGCCCGCTATGGTCAGTGTTGCACTCATCCCACAGTTGCAGGCAGGCGAAGCAGAAGGTGGCGCCGCACTGGCATGTGACGTACTTGCAGCCCTCGTGGTGAATGATGAGCGTGCAACACCTCAGACACGCGCGCAGAACCGGAACCTCCATCCTGCTCAACGCCTGCAGGTCAATTCGGATCCAGGAGAATAAGAAGGCATCGCGGAAGTCAAGGGCAAATTTGGACGATTGACGATGCCGCGCATGACACAGGAACATGAGAAAGAAGAACGACAGTGAAGCTGGTTAAGAAATCGCTAAATTCGACCTTGGTGGGAGAGGTCTGGAGTTCGTAGATTCGCTGGCGTGAGTTCATGTCGACTCTACACGCGACGCCGACCTTGAGCCACGACAGACGGAAAAAGACGCACCATAGGAGCAAACGGCGCGAAATCAGGGATCGCGAGTAATGACTACAAAACCCTTCAACAAACTACTCCAGTGGGCAGTGGATATGGAGCCATTGAGTCTCGTCCCCCAAGCCACCTGGACGTTGGCGGCGTGAGGGATCATGCTGGGAGATGCTGCGACATGCATTGCTAGTCGGTGGCATGCAATGGAAACCTGGAAAACAGCGAAAGCAATTGCTGATGAATGAGCATGAAGCAGGCTGTGCAGTGGAACTTGAACGGCGGAATTCTGGAAATGGCAACCCCACCATGCGAGCATCCCACGCGAGCTCCCGCGAGAAGGGTTACCGGGCCAATTGAGATTGTACCCGATAAAGGGTGTATTGACACAGGTGTGGCTCAATCGGGTTCAAGCCAAACTCAAATAACACTTTCCTCAAAAGGCTATTTCATAACTATCTGCATGCAGGAATATTGCATGATTTTACTATTCCCAGACAACATTTACCACCAAAAAACTTCAAGTCGACAACCTCTCTTCGCT